ATCTGTATCAAAAATCTATAGTTACTGTAACGTATACCAGATTAGATTTGTACGACTTGTACGAGCAAGCAATAAATATTGAAACATTACAAATGACGTTAAAATATATTAATATGTAAAATATAATTTATATATATATTTATATAAATAATCCCACTAACCTCGCGCAACCGATGCCAGCTGTCACATCACACGACGCATACATATTTATATAAATAATCCCACTAACCTCGCGCAACCGATGCCAGCTGTCACATCACACGACACATACACATATGTATATACATACATACACGCACGCGAAACTCGCAGCGCGATCTCGATCGCTGCATCATATCGACCGCACGCACGCATCGGCCAATCACGCACGCGGAAAAGCGGCAACAATACTACTCGACCACGGGCCAACTTCTCGCGTCTACATGGATTTTTTTATTATAGACTAGCACACACGCGCGCTAACGCGCGCGTCTCCATGTGTCCATATATTTCCCGTTATATTTTTATTTTAAAATATTTATCCCATTCCACTATTTTTTTTCTCTCCGTTAATTTGTTCCTTTTTCTTCTCTGACATACTAATATCTAATCACCACCTCCCATTCCTCTTTCTTCTCTGCTTACTTCACGTTTCTATTTCTCCCATCATTTTTTTTTGTTTTAAATTATTATTGTAAATTATTGTTTTGTAATTAATATCTAATCACCACCTCCCATTCCTTTTCCCTCTCTGCTTACTTCACGTACTTATCTTTCTCATATTTTTTTTTTCTTATTTCTCATATAAGACTTATTACGCTCTAATTTTTTTGCCCGGTACCTCTCTCTTTTTCCCCTTTCTCAGCTCTCCATTTTTCTCTTTTCCTACTTACTTTTCACATTTATTATTCCATTATACCTCCTTTTTCTTTCCTTCTTCTGTTCTTCCTAACTCTTCACTATCTCATCTTCTATCCTTCCACTTAGAATCTCCTTACACTTTCAATGTTTTCCACCACCATCCTTCTTATTTCTCCCACCCCTATAATTTTCCCTATTTTTTCTTTTTACTAAAAGATAATCTATTAGTACAATTTTATCTTCCCTTTTATGTGTCCACTTTTCTCTCTCATTTCCCGTCACATTCCGTTAAATAAATTATTATTATTTTTAGATAGTTAAATTAATTTATGTAATTAAATCAAGTCAATTTAATTCCGGGGAGGGAAGAATTTTAATGTTCCAACAATAGCTGTGTTTCAAGTCCGACAAAAAATCGGCGGCAGTTAAATAAGTTGGAAAAATATATGTATACATACACACAGAAATTAATATTAGGCTGTCTAAGCTTGGATCGTATGGCATTTTATTCTAATTTGATTGTATATTGTAATGGTTCTATTTCTCTTATTATTATTATTATTATTATTATTATTATTATTATTATTTTGTTATTATTATTTTTTATAATAATTTTATTTTTTTGTTAATTATATATAAGCATATTGTATATATATTTTTTTAATTTTTCCTAATATGTATATTTTCTTAAATTACAAAAAATGCAATATGTGTAAATAAAATCTAATTAATATTTATTGATTTACGCAATCTAAATTCAAGTCAATTTTAATCTAATACAAATTAAAATTAATAATGAAAGAAAAACCACAATAAAACCAAGTACATCTCTGAAATATTTTTGAGCAAGATTAATATTTCTTTTTTTTAGCTTTTTATAACATTAAATAAGATATTTATAATACCACAGGATTATTAAACAAATAAATTACTAATAAATTATTAATTATTAATAGATAAAATCCATATTTTTAATGTAAAATACATAACTTTAGATTAGATTATGACATAAAAACTTGTACAGTTGAATCTTTTCGATCATTGTATTCGCTCGCTCGCTCTTCTCTTTCCGCACGCCTCTTCTCTCTATACTCTCTTTTGCCTTTCCTCGCCGCAATACATTTTACATCTTTATTCATTCTCTCATTTCTCGCTTCATCCACTCTCTCTTCCATTCTCTCTCTCTCTCTCTCTCTTTCATACGTTACATTACTCCACTCTCTCTTTCTCTCTCTCTCTCTCTCTCTCTCTCTCACGCCTGTTCCCCACTGTTCATCCATCCCAGTCTTCCCCTCTGTCCCCCTGCCTCCCTCCTCTCTTTTCCACCATCCCCCTCTGACTCTCCCCCTCTCCTCCTCTCCCGTAATCTCTCTTCTACCCCTTTTATCCTGCAGTCTCTTCAACCCTCTCCACTCGCATCATTTTCCAAAATTTTTACTATTTCTTCTTTTCCTCTTCCTTTACCTTCTCCCATACATACCTCTACCACATGCTCCCACGTCTCTTCTTCACCTCCACACAGCCTGCATTTTTTTCCTTCCTCTCCCTCCCAATACCTACCCTCTCTCATCTCATTTCCCAACCTGAACCTCGCGACTCTAATCATTCTTTCCTCTCTTTCCCTTTTCTTTAAGTACTTCGGTAACCCTAGTGTTCCCACTTCCCTATACCATCTGTTCCATCTGGACTTACTTATCCTACCATATCTCTCCTGCTGCTATACCTCTCTGTTTCTTTCCTCCACTTCTCCTCTAACCTCTCGACCCTCCTCCCTCTGCTTCCTTATCCACTCCACCGAGACTCCTCTTTTTCTATAAAATTCCTTCCTTTGTTCCTCCCATTTAGATCCTTTCCTATCTCCTCTTTCAATTATCGCTTTCCAACATCTCTTTGCCCACTCACTGTCCCCTCCTCCCTAAAGTTTCTCCTCATATTCCAGTGCTTTCCTTCCCATCCTCGTCCTCAACTTGTCCCTCTTTCTCTCCTCTCACCATGTAACCTGACGTCCTTCCATCCAGCTCCAGTACCCATCTGATATACTTTTCTTGCACCCTCTCTACCTGTCCCCATTCCTTCCAACCCCACACCTCTGACCCGAAGCCTAAAACACTTCCCATCAAAGAATCGAACAACTTCATTCTCCTTTTCCAGTCTTCGCCAAACCTTTTTCCTATTCCCCATACCTGTCCCATTACCCCTATTCTTTCTTTAACTTCGCCCTCACCTTCGACTCCTGCCCCCCATTCCAACTGAACCAGTATCCTAGATACTTAAACTCCTTCACCTTTTCTAATTTCTTACCTTTTCATCACCATTTCTCCTTTCTTCTGCCTCCACCTCTTTTTCCAAACCTTACTATCTTCGTCTTGTCCACATTCAATTCCAACCCCTTCCTTTTTAAATACCTCTCTAATCTCTTTAACAACCATTTTATTCCCTCCTCATCCTCTGCTAAAATCACTACATCGTCCACATACCCTAGTACCCTTAGTTTTTGTCCTCCTACTTGTACCCCTCCTATTCCATCTCTTCCCAGCTCCATCTCTATGTCCGCCACCAGTAAGTTGAACAGCATTGGACTCAGCGGACATCTCTGCCTCACCCTTCTTGCTGTCCAAAATTTCCTTCCGCATCTTTTCTCCACCCTCCCTATACTCCTTGTTTTCACGTATATTTTTATGATCCTTTTTCCCAACCTCTCACTCACCCCTGTTTTTTTCAGACATCTTCCCGAAACCCTCCTGTCCACTGAATCAAATGCCGCCCTTAGATCTACAAAAGCAGCCACCACCTTCTTTTTTCTCTTTAATCGCTTCCCTATCGCATAATTCAGTGTGTAAATGTTGTCCACCACTCCTTTCCCCATCCTAAACTCTGGTTGGCTTTCTGGTGTAATCCCTTTCTCCTCCATCTCTTCCCTCAACCTATTTGCTAATATCGACGCGTACACTTTGTACGCCGTCGGCATCAGCGTAATCCGTCTATGCTCACTCACCTCTTTTGCCCAACTCTTTTTCGCTATCGGAACCTCTACTCCGTCCTTCCACGCCTCTGGAAAACTTTCTCTTTTCCATACTCTTCTGCATATTCCCCATAACGGCTTTCCTAAACCACTTTCTCTATAAATCCACACTTCTCCGCCTCCTGCTCTCCATTCTTTCCTTCTCCTAACCTTCGCTTGTATTCCGTTCCTTCTAACATCTCCCTAAAGTATTTATCCCACTCCTCTATTGTTTTCTCCTTATTAATTTCTGCCCTTCTCCTCCTTTCCTTGTTTATTACTTCCCACATCTGCTTCTTTGTTTTCGCCTCTCTTGCCTCTTCCAGCAGACTTCTCTTTTTTTCTTCCTTTTCCTCTCACACATTTTCTTATACTCTTTCTTTCCTCTCTTGTAATCTTCTTTGTGTTTTCTTCCTCTTTTCCAGTTTCTCAATAACATTTCTACCTCCTCCCTCTTCTTCCTACAGTCCCCATCCCATCATCCTCCTTTTTCTTCTGCCCCTCTTTTTATTCTTCTTACCCTTACTTCTATCTTAATTCTTTTTGTCAATTTTTCGACCTCTTGATCTATTGCCCCCCCCCCTTTCCTATTTCTACCTCCACCGTCATTTTTTAAACTCCTCTCTTGCTTCTTCCGACCAGTCCGTCTTTTCCACCCACCTCTCTTCCTCCGCTATTTTCCCTCTTCTCTCACCAACGCCCCCTTTGTCCACCCGTACTGCTACTGATTGGTGATCCGAATATACCTCACACCCCACCTCCAATCTTGTCACTCTTTCCCAAGCTTTCCAATCTGTTATTGCGTAATTGATCACTGTTTCCCCCCCTTCCTCCTGTAAAAGTCTACTTCCCCTCCTCATCACCTTCCTTTGCTCCGTTAATAATTCCCCACCCTTCCTCTTCCACCCATCTAATCAGCCCTTCCCCCTACCTATTTATCATTTTATCTTTCGATTATCTTTCAACTCTCTCTTCTCCATCCTCCAGCGCTCTTTTCTCCCCTGTTCTCGCATTGAAATCTCTATCCATCCCTCCTCTCTCCTTTTCTCCTCCTTTACCGATTTTATCTTACTCATTATCTTGTCCGAGTTGTTGCTTACGTAAACTGTTGCCAATCTCCATTTCTCCTTCCATCTTACTATTCTAATCATTAAATCCTCCTTCCCCACCCATTCTTCTTCCCCTTCTAACCCTTTTCTGACTTTCATCATTATCCCACCTAATGTTCTTCCTTCTCTTCCAACTCTTTCTTTCTTTGCACCCTGTATCCAGTTGAACTCCTTTGGCACCCTATTCTTCATCTTCTCCCATTCCTTCTGTTCCAGCCACGTATCCATCAACCCCACGACATCCCA